AGCCACAGGAGGGTCCTGAGGAGTGACATGATCTGACTTAACCCTGTATCACCCGTGGGGAAACCGAGGCACGGAGAGGTTCACTGATGCGCTGGAACCCCACCACTGGTGAGCGGGACAGCCTCTGAAAGGCCCCAGGCTGCCTGGTGCCCAAGTCTGGGAGACGCCTGGCCAGCCAGAATGGGTCAGAGGCCAGGCCTGCAGACAGCTCAGGCCACCCAGGTCTGGAGCTGGGGTTCAGCTCCTGCTTAGTGAGGACTGACGGGATGCTGGTCTCGGTCGCCCTCCTGCCCGCTCCTCACCTCCATCGCAGTCCCATGGGGATTAGCAGAGGAGGAGGGGGAACTCTGGGAGACAATGCCCTTCCCAGCCCAGAGCAATGGCCACTGCCCACGGAACACACCTTCCATGTCTCCCCAGTGCCAAGCGCATGCCGGCAGTGCTGGACTCGCTCCAGACTGCCCCCAGGCGGGGGAGGCGTTTCCAGAACACAGGTCTGAATGAGGGGGATCTGTAGAGGGGAGAGAGCGGGGGCAGGACCTACCGCATTTTGCCCGGGTGCTGATCGAACTCTGTGAAACATCACTGACCAGGACACGTGCTTTCTGTGTACTTTTCTGAATGTAGTTAGTGCTTTAATGAAAAGATTTTAAAAGTAAAACAAAATACACATGTCCGGGCCCCGCGTGGAGGAATGGCTGGGGCGGTGGGGGCGCCCTCCTCTGGTGCACACTCCCTGAGAACTTACTACGTGCCAGGCGCTGAGTTCGGCACATTGATGTGGCGGTAGGACAAGGCCTTGACCCTTGTGGACTCAGCATTTTAGTGGAAGGGAGGTGGGGGGAGGGGAGACATACCATGAACAAATCACCAGACATCAAATAACTGCAGCAGAGGTGACTGTTAGGAAGGTCAGCAAACGGGGTTAAATGACAGGACACCAGCAGGTGCCTTAGCCAAACAGACCTTTTGGAAGAGGGGCCCTGAGCAAAGACATGCACGAGGAAGAGCTGCCATGGGGGGATGAAAAGTGACCTTGGTCTCCTCTCCCCCCAGGTCCCACCCCCAGAGGGCACCTTCTGCCAGCATGTCCGTGGACCCCTTATCCAGCAAAGCACTGAAGGTGAGGAGGCGGCTCCTGTCCCTCCCAGTCCTGCCCCCGCCCCGCCCAGCCCCTGCCCAGGCTGGGCTCCCCATCTCCGGCAGCCCAACCCACTTCCCCTTCAGTACCTGGAATCCACAAAGCCGCCCAGCAGGCATCAGACATTCATGAGGTCACGGCTGGAAACCAGGAGACTGGGCTCTGGCCTTGGGCTGTGTCCCCCACTTCCCCCGCAGGCGGTCGCTTCCCTTTCTGTACCTGTTTCCCCATCAGAACAGTGCCCGCTGGGCTGGAGGACTTTAGAGGCACTTTCTTGGGCTTCTTTGGCTGAGTCCGAGCCTGGTCGCTGGGTCAGGATTTGAACTGAACTCCGGGGTGGCTCCTCGTGAGTTCTGATCCTGGTTTGGCTCGGTTTCCCATCTGCGGGTACCTGCCCCACTTGGAGGTCTTGGAACAAGTCCAGCCACCACCTCTATGCCTACGGTGGGGGAGGTGTGGGGAGGTCCCCAGCCCCTGATGCGTGCCAGGCCCCGGGCTCAGGGCCCACAGGCAAGGGAGCGACCCTGGACCTCCATTTCCCCATGCGCCCACCGTGCTGCCTGCAGATCAAGCGCGAGTTGAGCGAGAACACGCCGCACCTGTCCGACGAGGCACTGATGGGGCTGTCGGTGCGCGAGCTGAACCGGCACCTGCGTGGGCTCTCTGCCGAGGAGGTGACACGGCTCAAGCAGAGGCGCCGCACCCTCAAGAACCGAGGCTACGCAGCCAGCTGCCGCGTGAAACGCGTGTGCCAGAAGGAGGAGCTGCAGAAGCAGAAGTCAGAGCTGGAGCGCGAGGTGGACAAGCTGGCGCGCGAGAACGCAGCCATGCGCCTGGAGCTCGACGCCCTGCGCGGCAAGTGCGAGGCCCTGCAGGGTTTCGCACGCTCGGTCTCCGCCTCCCGCGGGCCAGCCGCACTGGTGGCGCCGGCTAGCGTCATCACCATCGTCAAATCCGCTCCGAGCTCGGGCCCCGCCCCAGGCCCCGCCCCCGCCGCCTGCTCCTAGTGCCCACTGCACCCTGACGACGCCCCACCCCAAACCACGCCCCCGGTCCCCAATCCCTTCCCGAAATGCCTGAGCACAACCTCTGTCCCCAGGTGCCACTTCTCTACAGCCACCAGCGCCTGTGGTTATCACAGGTCCTCTCCCCAGACCCTGCCTTCCTCGTGCAGCCCTTGACACTGGGACCTAATAGCCCTGGGAAGGGGCGACTTTGGTGAGATAGGAAGTAGGGTGGGGTTGTGGTCAAGGGGCTCCCTTGGCTGAAAGTTCAGTCTTCTTAGACCGAGAGGATGGGATACAGAGCGGACTAGGTTACAGAAGAGCCATAGAGGAAAAGAGGGCCACCCTTCACTTTGTAAACTTTGCTCAGATTATGCCAATGGCCCCTTCCCAACCTCCTGGGTTGCAGCGCTAGGTCTGGCCCTGTAGTTATCTGTGGGACTGTCCAGCTGGAACGCCGATGCTCCCACCTCCCTTCGGGCCTGCGGGAAATCACCTGGTCAAGCCCCGTGAACAGGTGGGGAAAGAGGTCTCCCATGGATGGGCCACGTATGCTTAGTAGTCAAACTGGGTCTCCGAGCCAGGTTCTCCCACTGCTGCCTGGAGATCCCTGGCTGTGATTCTCAGGGGGACACTGGGCTGGGACTGAAACCGGTGGAAGGGCCTCTGCGGCCTGGGAGACAGTGGTGAGTCAAGGTAAGAGAAGCAGAGGGAGAGAGAAAGTGACTCCGATGGAAGAGAGGGAAGGAGCTGGCCAGCCAGAGAGAAAGGGGAGATGAGAAGGCCGATCCTACAGTCGTACAGCCTGGGCTGAGGGGTCCCCACCTCTTCCCTGTGACTGTCCACCCCGGGTGGGGGCTGACCACGGTCATTGATTATTTAGGGAAGCCCAGCCCCCCCCCCACTGTTTATTTATTGCACGAATAAGTTATTCTTCCAGCCGGGGCCCTAGTGCCCAACCCCTGGGAAAAGTGGCATGGGGCCCTGAGCTGGACTTTATATTTTATATCTGCAAATAAATCACATTTTATCTTATATTTAGGGAAAGCCGGATAGCAACAACCAAAAAAAAAAAAAAAGTTAAAAAAAAATTGCCCGGCCCCCAGAATTTATTTATTTTCTGACTTACAGTAAGCGAGCTACCCGCCTTCTGTATTTTGTAGACTCTGAATAAAGACAAGTTCTCTATTTCCACAGTGAAGAAGTGTACGCCCTGGTTTTTGGGGGGGTTCTAAAGGAGGGGCCCAAGATGCAGTTGTGCTTTCCCACCCCAAAACGGTTGCTCCAATTTGCAAATAAAAACTATGCTGCCCTGGCAGACACCAAAAGGCTTCAGGTTCGATCCCTGGTCGGGGCACATACCTAGGTTGTGGGTTTGGTTTCTCGCTGGGGCGCGGCGGCCTGGAGGCAACTCATCAGTTTCTCTCTCCCGCTGTTTTTTTTTTTTTTCCCTCTCTTCCCCCCACTTCCTCTTTTCCCCTAAAACCAATAAACATACCCTTGGGTTCGGATTAAAACAACAAACAAAAAAGCTATGCACCATTGTTACTAGCTCTTATGCAAGCTGGGGTGGGCTGGAGGGGGACACCCGGCCAGGTGGTGCCCAAACATCTGTCCTTCCATGTGGGGCCTGAGCCAAGGACCTGCCTGTGGAAGACCAAGCCGGGGACACAGTGAGACACAGGGTTAAGTTTCCTGGGCATCTCCTCAGTGAAAACACAGTCCCACCCAGAGAGGAAAACTCCCAGATTGAAGAGTCATCTTTCCAGCACTTTCCCATGGAGGTCTGACTTTCCACAGCCAAGTAGAAAGTCCTCCCCGCATGTTCGGGAAGGCACCGGCAGCAGGGAGAGAAGTGGTTTCCTCAGTCCCAGCCCGCTGGCCTGAAATGCAACTGTGCCCCATCCCAGGCCCGGGCGGACGGAGTCCACTGCTGCTCAGGGAAACCGGGGTTTGAATCGACAGGAGCATTTTCTTAGCTGTCTGACTTTTGATGCCTCGTTTAGCTTCTTGCAGCCTCGATTTACCCATGTGTACCAGAAAGGTACTCTGGGGGGGTAGGGGTGACCAGCGCTGGGACCTGGAGGGCTACAGGCTTGAACACAGTAAAGCTTTACAAGACCCCGCCACTGCAGTGAGGGTTGCTGCGAGTCTGGGAATGGGGGTGAAGACGGCAGAGCCGGGAGAGGTTGCAGAACGTGATAGCGGAGGAAAGGCCCAACCACGTGGAGGGGCGTGGTCCACAGGCCTCACCCAATCCTGTGATGCCGAGCTCAGGCCCCGGAAAAGACCACCGGAAGCTGCAGGAGGATGAGCTAAGACTGGGAACTTCCCCGCCCCCGCTGCATTCCCGAGTGCTTAAGTCAGCGCTGCCAGGCCCCAGAAGGCCTGCGGAGGTGGCGGCAGGGCACCTGCCCTGGTGAGTGGGGGCAGTGCCTGCTGCCCAGCAGGCTCTGTTCCAGGCCTTGCCCCTAGTGGGAGGCACGGGGGGGGGGGGTGGCTCAGGGAAGCAGGGATGGTTTGGAAAGAGTGAGGACCCTAGGAACTCTCAACTCCCTGAGAGACACCTGCCAGTGGGCGGGGAGGTGGGTGCCAGAGCCACCCCTATATCCTGCAGGCCACGTGGGGAGGGGGCGACACTGTCCACTGGAGGCCTAGACCCCGATTTTAGTCTCTGACAACATGAATCCCTCCATCACCTACACATGACATTGGGAAAGGACCACGGTTTCCTAAAACACCCCTGCCCACACCACAAAACCCACCCCGACACACCCACAGGGGTGGGAAGAGGCAGGGGAAAAAACCTCACCCACAGGCAGAGGAGATTTCAATACAATCTATATTATCTCATATATATTCCTCTCTCACTTTATTTGCTCACTTCTGTCACGCACTCAACGTGTCGCAGAGACCAAAATAGAGCGGCTTTCCGGTGGGGCTGGTGGCAGTCATAAGCGAGATACAAAACTAGGGGCTCTGTCTCTCATACATCATACAGTTAATTTTTCAAGTATTTTTTATGTACAAAGAGCTAATCTATCAGGAAATTAAAAAAAAAAAAGACAGGTTAGGCTACGAATCCTAGAAGGGTGGCATGGTCAGGCACGAGTTCCACCCCCGGCTCCCTGGGGGGCGCGGGCTCCCTGGCGCTGAGCTGGAGGGCAAGCCAGGGTGGGCAGAGGCTGGGGGCAGGGAGTCAGCTGCACACTTTGGCCTGGAAGGGGAATCAGAGAAACCGATTCACGGGAGTGGGGACAGACAGAGGTCATTCTCAGGCGGCCTGCACCGACCCGCAGCTCGGGACTGGCTGGCCAAGCCCACCAGACTGGGGCCTGAGGCTGGCCTCCAGCAGCCCTCAGCAGGCCGCTGCTCCTCCGGGGGGGCTGGCTTGGTCACAAGGGCCAAGAGCCGGTAAAGATTACTGGGACGGATCCCCCACTCAACCCTCGGCACAGCTCACTCCAGGAGTGGCCAAAAGGAGAGAGGTGCCACGGTGACATTCTGAAGCCACCGGACTGGGCCCTCCTCGCTCAGCCTGCCCCTGCCCCAGGCTACTGCAGCCCAAGCCCAAACACCACCGGGGGATGGGAAGCCTGTACACACAGGCAGTGCCTGCTGAGAGTGAACCAACCTGCACGGGGGCTCTGGCCCAGGGAAGCTCCAGGGGCATGGTGCACAGGCGGGCAAGGGCAGGGGACAGGTGGCCCTGGCCGCCCCTGAGGCCTAAGGGTGCTTGGCCCAGCACTGCAGGATCTTCTGAGTGCCAGCAGCTTAACGGAGGGGGGGTATGTCTGGGGTAGAATGAAGGCCTGGGGAGAGGGAGCGCTCATATGTGACTAAGGCACAGAAGAGATGAGCCAGTTAACCAGATGAGGACACCAGGCCCTGTGCAGACCTGGGGCCAGGGCCCTCCTCGGCACGCCCCGGCCCTCCGCCCTCCCTCCTCCAGAAGCTGGTCTGAAAGGTAGAGACTCAGATTCTCCCTGGGAAATGTGAGGGAGAAGCCCCAGCGACAGACCATGCCCCAGCCAAGGTTCTGATCACTCAGCCTGGGCAGAAAGCGGGGAGCCCTTGACCCTGTGAGCAAGCAAGAAGTAAGGACTCTGTCCAAAAATGCTCTCAAGAAGATAGACCCCAAGGGGGCAGTGTGGGCTGCTGGCTGTCCTCAGCAGGCCAGGAGGAAGGGACATGAGACCAGCAGAGGTGCAGCCACAGAGAAGACACACAAGGGCTCAGGGACCCCCGACTTGGAGAGGCTGCATCAACAGAAGAGGAGCGCAGAGGCGCGTGGGCACCTGCCCAGGGGGCCTGTGTTCTTGGTGTCTGGCTCTCATCTGGGCAGCACGCCAGGCAGGCCTGGGTCAGGAGGGGGTTCACAGGGGGTGGTCCCTCCTTCTGCCCAGGCAAAGCTAATCCAGCATCAGACAAGGGGCGACCGGGGAGGGGACAGGTGGGGAAGAGCTGTATTGCACAGTGTTTGGGGGTGGGGCTGCGAGTCTTGGGGGGGGTAGCAAGGACCTGGGGACAGAGCAGAAGACTGTGGCCACTGGTCTGCAACACAAGCATGTGGGTCTGGGGCACATCTGGTCCCGACATGCTGCCACCGCAGGACAAGCTGTGGGATCCTCGGGCGTCGCTCCGAGGATCCTCTGCTCCTGCCCCGATCCTGCAGGTTTGGCCTTGTGTGAATATTCCTGAAGGCTCGAGGGTGAGCCTGGGCTGCTCCCTTGGCAGACAGCAAGTGGCTGTTCCTCTGGAAGCGATATGTGAGTGTCTCTGGTCCAATAAATTAAAGGGCGATGCCAAAGCTGTGCCAGCCTGCCTCCTGGCCTGGTCGCAAGGCTGGAGGGAGCACACCCTGCCCGGGCCGAGGTGCCCATCCTTCCCTGCAACAGCCGCCACACCTAGAACTCATCATCAGAGCTGAGCAGGAGAGTCTTCTCATTGTCGCGGGCACCGCTGAGGCTGTGGGAGCGTGCGAGGCCGTGGGCACCGCCGTGCCAGTTGGGCCCCGGCTCCAGCGTGGACTGCTGCGTGTACTGCTGGTAGGCGGGCGAGAAGTTGTGGATGGCGTCCTGAACGATGTCGTGCGGGTTCATGGTCTCCTTGAGGCTGCTGGAGATGCTCTTCATGGGGGCGCAGCGGCCTGCGGGGCAGGGGGCGGGAGCCGGAGGTGAGGGGGCTGGAGCGGCAGCAGGTGAGGCGGCGAGGCCCACCCCAAGTCCTGGGACCGCCCCTGCCAAGCTCTGTCATTCAATGGCCCCCTCCTGGGACAGAAAACAGGGTCCTGCACATGGGGGCGTGCAGGCAAAGAAATGGCCCCTCTGGCTGGGGCACAGAGCCTGCCTGTGGGACGAGGCAGCAGTGTAGACTGGTGCGATGCAGGCAATGAGCCCAGAAGGCCCCAGGGAGGCGGGGCCAGGCCCAGTATCTGAAGGAGGGAGTGTTGGGGAAGGGGGCTTGGGAGGCTGGGTGCCCAGGCTCCATGGGTGCCAGCCCCACCACTCCTCCCAGGTGAGCAGACCAGAGACCTGCTCCATCAGGTCGGATGCAGAGGGCTGGGCCAGCAGAGGAGGCCCCTCTCTGGGAGGGCAGGAGCCACCTGCCCTGACGTGCGGATCTAAACTTCCTCTCTGATGACCCGTCCCCACGGGCCCGAGCCACAGAACGGGGCGGTAAGGGATAAGCCCAACTCGCACCCTGGTCTTTAGACTCAAACTGGCCTACTCTCTGCACCCTCTGCCGTGGGACATGCCCAACGCCCCTGGTTTCCCGTGAATGAGTGCTGTGCCCCAGAACCAAGCAGGGCGGATTCCAGGACAGCGAAAGACCAGGACAGATGCAGACAAACTCCACAGAGGGTGGCGCCAGGCAGGCAGGTGCCCTGGGCTCTGCCACCCAGGGGTATCCGTGGGGAAGGAGACAGGGACACAGAGAAGAAGCCGTGGAAAGAGGCATGCTGGTGTGACAGTGACCAGGACTGGCGTGCAGGACAGACGTGCAGACCGAGAGCAGAACCTACCGTAAGGACCATATGTTGGCACTGCCCGCGGCCAAACCGGGGGCAAAAGCAGGGCGGGCGGGGGAGGGGGAGAGAAGCAGGAGAAATAGAGAAGACAAGAGACAGCTGAGTGAACACCAGGTGCCCACCACTGAGGCCAGCGCACGCCGCTCGCCCCGCCACGCCCAGCCCTCAGCGCCACCCACACGCAGGCTGCCCCAGCTCCCTCCCAGGGCCTGGGCAGAATATCCACCTAGGAAAGATTCCTTCTGTGGCTGGGTGGGGCACAAATAGTGGGCACCTGAGCAGTGGTCTGAGCTCAGCCTCTGGCCCTAAGTCAGGACCCCCATACCCTCACTCCTCTTCAGGCCAGGCTGGAATTGCTAAGCCTGTGCCCTGTGCTGCACAAACCTCTGGCCACTTCACAGACAGGAAACTGGGGCTGGGGCAGGGGTTTCTTGTGCAGGCGGCTCAGCAGGCAGAGCTGGCTCTGCACCCATGCCTGGCTGGAGGCTAAGGCTGCAGGCTGTGGTTAGTGGGCACAGGACTGGCCAGGACCAGCACAGAGGGCAAGGGCGAGCAGCGGCTTTCCCTGGCTGGGTGGGGGTCCCTGCCACAGCCAGACCACTGGGGGTGGGAAGACAGCCCAGGCACCACAGAAATGGTTCCTTAAACACTTTTAAACCTTCATAGGCTCCAGGCACAAAGCTGGCTTTCCCAAGGGCACAGGATCTGTCGGGACCAGGGCCAAGGGACATCGCCCTCAACACAGGGAAGGTGTTCCTCAGATGCTTCCAACTGGGGCCCTGGGGGGAAGCAGCAGTGAGCCGAGCCTACAGTGCCTGGCCCTGAGGAGGTGTGTGGTCGAACACGGAAAAAGTGCCCCAGCTCCAGCCAGCAAACGTGTTGAGTAAACACGGTCAGGCACGCTAGAGTCAGGAGGCCTGGGGTATACACAGTTCACGCCTCCGGCAGCCACTCAGGCATTTTGAGGCCTCCTCCCAACCAGGGAAAGAGCTGGGAGGTAAGAAGGTGGAGGTTGAGGAGCCCGGCCACAGGCCAGGCCGGTGCCTCTCTCCTCTTCTCAGTACATGGCTCCTGGGGCCTGTGGTGGGCACGGTGCTGGGCTTGGGGGAGTGGGTTTCCTGCCTCCAGCCACACAGGAAGGGCGCTGCAGCGGCCGAGCTCCAGTGTAGGAGTATTAGACCAGGACGCTCCCCCCAGGCCCTTCCACCTCCTCCCTCCACCTCAGGCCTTCCCAGACCCCTCTTCCTGCCCCCTGGACCGCCCTCCCTGCCCAGCAGCTGCCAGAGGGAGCCTGGCCCCCAGCTCTGAAACCACACCCTGCCAGGCCCCAGCCCAGCCACTGCAGAATCTGACCGCGGGGCCAGACACCGGCTTTTCAGACTCTCCAGGGTGCCCTACAATGACAGTCTCCAGCCTCTGCTCTAACAGAGCGGAAGAGTAACAGGTGTGAATATATATATACATATATATATAAAAATTTTAAAAGCTGTTCAAAACTATTACCATCTCAGTCTGTTTCTGAGAAGTAATCAGGTTAAAGAAAAAAAAATAAAGAACCTTTGAGACAATTACAGGATAAAACAGATAACTGAGTTCAAGGTCAGGAACCGTTAAGAACTCATCTACTCCAACGTCTCTGCCCTGACCTTCCCGAGGGGGTCTCTGAACTCCAGACCTGCTGCAAAAGGGGGGCCTGGCCTCTAGGCCACACCTACACACAGCTTGGAGGTTCCTGAGCCCTCCACACCTGCAGGACACTGGGGGCAGGCGGGGCCCTGGGCAGGGCTGGCTGTGCGCCCTTCCTTGGGGGTCATCACCAGGACCGTGGCTCCTACCTTGCGCATCCAGTCTCTTGTCAGCATAGACCTTGTAGGTGAAGGCATGGCGCAGGGCCAGGGCCGCGAAGAACATCTCCACGCAGATGATGAAGTCCTGGTAGCCGGCAGCCACGGTGCCCTCGCCCACCGACACACGGGCTGAGTGGATCTTGGGGATGGCCCCGCACTTCTCCAGGATGGCCAGGAGCATGCCTGGAATGGGCGAGGGGTGGCTGTCTGGCCCAGGCTGGACTCCCTTCCCAGTCCCCCATCCTCCATGCAGCTCCCCCAACCCCCAGCAAATGCCAGGGTGGGTGGGAGAAGGGCCCACATTTGTTCCTATAGAGGAGGGCTGCTGACAAAGCCGAGGCCACAGAGAAACCCCAGGCCCCCAGCTGCTTTCTGGCCACCAACACTGAGATGTCACCGACTATGCAGGGTCCTCTTGGTGGCCCCCTCCATGAAGCAGCCCCACTGAAAGTCCTATCAAGGCACCTGAGGGCTCAAACTTCTCATCCAGTGGGTGCCCAGTGGGTGGAGCTCCAGGCTGGGACCAGCCAAGGAAAGCCGCAGGGCCTGGGCCCCAGGAGCACCGGGTATGGCAAGCAGAAGGGGACAAGGCTTAGGGGACAGTGTGCCACATGCAGCCTCATGGGGGCTGGGAAGGGGCTCACCTTGCCAGAAAGAGAGGAAGATGACAGACTTGACCATGAAGAACTTGAGGACAGGGCTGTAGGGGCTGAGCAGCTCCCGCGTGGCGAAGTAGAAGAGGAAGAGGGCGTAGAGGGCCAGGCTGACGGAGACGTTGTAGATGATGGTCACGTACAGGTAGCCGCTGGCAACACTGCGGGACAGGGGAGCATCCTGGCTCGGACAGACCCTTCTGAGGGACCAGGGGCCTCCCCCATCCTGTGTCCCACCCAGTGCCAATTCGTATGGCTCAGCAGCGCTCCCCGAACCACAGAGAGGTGACCGAAGTGGTCACACCGTGAGAAGGGCATAGGGGTGCGCCCACAGTCTGGGACGGCCCCATTGCCTCTGCTTCACTCATGGGCGCCTCTGAGCCGTCTGCCTGCAGATTCCATGCCCACCTCCTGGGGGAGGACACTGGCGTGGTGGCCGGTATGGCCAGGGGTGGGGTGCTCAGCCTGATGGTCAGATGACAGGTGTCAGTGTGCCTGAGGGCTTGGCTTTGCCCTTTTCACCTGAGCCAGGCTATGCCCCGCCGAGCCTCGGTGTGCTGACCTGTGCCGGTGGGGCTGCTGCGTACAGTTCGAGTGGCAGACCCCCAAAATGTTCCAGGACCATTCACACAGGAGAGGATTGCTACCCGGGGACTCAAGAGCAGCCTCTTGGGGCTCTGACCCTCTTGTTCCCTGAATGGAGAACAGCAGCCACTATTCCATCTGAGCCCGCCCCCAAGGCCCCAGGCTGCGGCCTGTGTGTGAAGGTGACGGACACCGAGGATCACTCCCATGCTGGAGGTCGGGCCTAGGGCCACAGCCAGGCTTGGACCTCGAGGCTCAGGGGTGCGGGGAGGAGTGAGGAAGGCTGGGCCAGCCTGGCCCCGGCTCAGAGGAAGGCCCGGTATGTGCGTGTGCAGCCAGCCTGCACCCACCCTCCCCCAGCTGGGGCGGCAGCCTCCATATGGAGCCGTCTACCCTGACACCAGCGCCCTCCCCACTCTCCCCTGGGGTCCGCCGCTTACTCAAAGTCGCCATCCCGGTACTTGCCAAAGGCCTGGAGGACCACAGTGCTGACGGCCATGAGCGGCTTCACCACGCAGAACTGCAGGGTGGCCTGTGGGGGGAGGGGTGGAGGCTGAGAGTCAGGGTGTGGACAGAAGCCTCGTGACAAACACCTCCTCTGGCAGGCAGGCCTGCACTGGATTCCAGGGGGTGAGGGAGGCCCAGTGTCCTCTCCTGAGGGGGCAGCCATCGGGAAGGGAAAGCGGAATCCGTGAGACAGTTGACAGTGTGACTCAGCTGCGTGAGGAGACAAGGACAGGAAGGGAGGTTGGGCGGTGGAAGGAGGGATGGAGGGTGGGAGGCGGGAGACGCCACCAGGGAAGGGGCCAGGAGGGACGAGGCAGAGATGAGGGGACAGGGAGAGGGGGCAGCTCGCACTGAGGCTCACAGGCAGAGAACGGACAGCAAGGTTCCGTGCTGGTGACGGCAGCAGCGGTGAGGTAGCCAGGGAACATGGGGCCCTGCTTGGGGACTGGCCACACAGGCGGTGGGGACGGGTGAGGAGGTCTCCTCTCCACCCCAGCCTGGCTGCCCGGCCACAGCCCTGGGTCTGGGTCCAGGGTCTCTATCGAGCTGGGCTCCTACTGAGGGTGGAGGTGACACACAGGAGTGCAAGACAGGAAGCAGCCTACGGCAAAGGTCTAGAGTTCAGACATCTGAGTTTGACTTCCGGCCTCGCCAGCTACCAGCTACAGAAGCTTGAGTGGGTGGCCACTTAGCCTCTGGCAGACGGACGTAGCCAGGCCCTTCATGACAGGGTCGCAGTGCAGGGACTGGAGCACGAGACGGCAGTGTCCTGAGGTCTCCCACGTCTGCGCACTTGGAGGCTCGGCCCCCGGAAGAGTTCCTCTCCCAGCCTCCCTCAACTCCCTACAGAGGCCCCAGGAGACCGGGGACCCACGGTGCCCCTGACATCACTAGAATCACCTTTCTCTTGAGATCAAGTCAGTCCAAGAGCCAAGGCCCCTTCTGTGGAGGAGGGAGCAGTGAAAAGGGTACGGTAGTGTGGCTCCAAACAAGGCAAGGACCCGGGCAGAGAGTGGCTGGCTGACCCCAACGTTCTGGGAGCTGGAGCGAGACGTGCAGGGGAGCCCCAATGGTATGAGCTGTGGCGCTGCCACCAGGAGAGGCGTGTGACGGGCGAGAGGTACGACACTGCTGTCAGCACACCCTGCGGGTATCCCCCTGGCCCCACCAACCCTGCCGTGGGAGGCAGGACCAGCGCCAGGGAGGAAGAGGAAGCAGCAGCCCACCGCACTGTGTGCACGAGCCGGCCTGAGGAGCCTGGCCACAGGCTGGTGCTGTCCTGGGTCGGCTCACTTCGTGCTGACCACAGCCCCGTGGCGTGAGGACCGTCATCACCCTGTGACAGATGAGGGCAATGAGCAGAAAAGCTGAAGTGACACAGTAACAGGGGACTAGGATCCTGGACAAAGCCCTGGTTCTGTGCCCCTGGGACAGAGCTGACCCTGGGACGGGGCTGTCCCTGTCTCCGCCACAGCAGGGGGTGCAGAGGCTTCTTCCGCTCTCTGTCCTGTTCCTACCTCCCTGTGCCACCTCCAGGAGCAGCAGAGGAAACCTGAGCCCACAGGGCTGGGGTGACTTTGTAACGGGGTGACCGAAGTGAGTGCTCACGGGATCACACTCTGTACACAACATAACCACCACAGAAGGCAGCCATGAGTCACAGGGGCCCTGGGCGGCCACAGCCTTCGGTAAACAATGGCTGGAAAGGCCCCACCCTGGGCCCGGGGTGGTTTTAACTCTTCCCCTGCAGGTCCAGTGGGCAGACTCTGCATTTGCGAACAACCTCAGGAAGGAAGGCGTGCAAGCGGGCTGGAGACCTGGGAAGCCTGGGCAGGCGCCTCGTGGGTGTGGCCGCACCCCGGGCAGTGGCCCTACCCAGAGTTAGTGGAAAAGCGACCCTCCAGGAGGTCACAAGGGTGGGTTTCACCATTTCCCCTCCTGATTACTCTCGGAGATGCCTGAGGGGCTGGAAGGGCCGGTGGAGCCCCAGAGGAGACTGAGTCAAGGTCAGGTCAGCTGGGCAGGACACGTGACTCCCCCTCTCCAAAGCTCGAACGCTCTGTACCCGCCCGACCTGTTCTTTAAACCGTCCCTTCAGACGAGGGTCATCACACCCATTTTACAGAAGGGACCAAGGCTCGGAGGTCAGTCAGAGGAAAAGCTGGAATGCACACTCCGTCGGCCAGACAGCCAGGCCCATGCCCTCAGTCACAGCGCCATGCTGCCTCCGCCCAGGCTGCGCCAGACCGCGGGCCACATGGCCGAGAACGCCGGAAGCTGCTGGGCTGCCAACTGGGAAACAGGGCCGAGACCAGAGGCTGCCCGGGCCTGTCTGGGCATCTACCTTTAACGCAGACACCCTCCTTCCCTCCGACCCCCACGGTGAGGCGGTTCCTGAGACTCCAGAATCCCCAGGCACTTCCTCCGACTCACACACACCGAGACTTGGGCAAACGCAGCGATTGGGACTCCACAGGCGGTGCCCAGGGCAGCCTGTGGCAGGGTCCTCGGGCCCTACGCCTGCCTCTGCCACTCCGCCAGCCAGGGACAGCACGGCCCACAGCGGCCGCTCCGGGCACAGCCCCAGGCTCCTGGTCCTTGGCCCACAATTTGACCCAGGCAGCTGCGGAGACACACAGACCTGCTTGCAGAACCGCAGGAATCCGATGGAGTACGTCTTTCCCCAGAGGCAGCATGTGCCGTACACACAGCTGGACCTGGAAGAGACGAGTGGAGAGGGAATGGTGAGCAGAGAGCCAGGACTGGGGAAAGGGGGGCCTGGGGGGCACCCTCCCTTACAGCCAGACAAGCCACGGCAGAGTAGGGTGGGGTGGGGATGGGGCCCAGGCAGCCTCCAAACCTGAGGCCAAGTGCAGGGAGACACGGGAGCGTGTGTAGCTGCGGTGAAACGTGAGGGAGCAGGGTGGACGGGCCTCGAGATAACACACCAACTTGAGAGGCACTGAGTGTAAACAGTGCAAGAGGGAGGAAGAAACAGGAGAATAAAGGCAGAGAGAGGGAGAAAGAGCCAGGGAGGCCCTCCCAAGAGTCCCGGTGGATGGCCTTGTGCAGGAAGTTCAAGAGCACACAACAGGTCAAGGCCACAGAGAGGGTCTGCGCGTCCAGCTGCCACCAGAACAGCTCGGAGACTGTCAGGCCCAGGAAGCGGGTGGTACGGAGGGGTGGGGGGGGGGGCTTCAGGGGGGCTTTGTACTCACTCAATGGGCTTCCCTCTGATCTCTGACATGATGGAACTCTCCCCGCCGAGGTATTCGTAACACAGGCTCAGGAAGTTGTAGATGACCAGGGCTGTGAAAAGGGAGCCCACAGTGAACCAGTCACATCGACGGGGAGGGCTAGCAGATGGCAGAATTCTGAACAGCGATGGAAGTGAAAGAACCCGTCCCAGGCAGCAACAAGGAGCCCCGAGGGGTGGAGACCCCACACAGCGAAGACGCCGTCCGTAATGAAAACCAGGAGAGGACGAGCCGGGCTGATCAGGAAGGCGCACACACACTGCTGCTCACTCTGCGAGCAGAGCCAGCACAGGATGGCCACAAACTCAGGACTGCAGGGCCGGAGGCAGGTGCAAGCGCGGTGGGGACTCGAGGGAGCTGGCAGTGAGCCAGCTCTGGGTTCCACTAGGTATCAACTTTACAATTTATTCATCTTATGCACTTTTTCGTTTGTGTAATAAATCACAATTTTACAACAGAACAACAGCAAAACCTTCTCCAGCGGGATCTCGGGGAACGTTCTAGGTAAGCACGAGACAGCAGCACCTTGATCTGCCCGACAGCCTCTGGTGCACCTTTGCACAGAATGTCTGTGAACTGGGCACAAATGTCTCGAGAAGCTGGGTCAGCTCTTTCTGAATCAGGATGCAGCTGGACATCCCCACCGGGACATAAAATTTGCAATAGTGACCGCCAGCAGGGAAGTATGTTGTAAGTGCTACGTTATAAATATCGCTGTAATGTCTCCACGAGGAAGGGTTTCTGCTGGGTCGGCAGAGTGAAGGCCGTAGCCTGCAGGGTGCGGAAGCAGAGGGGTGTGTGTGCAGGGGCGAGGGAGGAGAGGGAGCGTGGAAGGAAGGAGTACGAGGAGCGTGGCAGACAATACCGCAACGGAAGGGTGCAGGAGGGTCAGTGCTAAGAGCACGAAGCAGGGAGAGGTGTCCAGCAAAGGAGCAAGGCCAAGGCAAGGGTCAAAATGGGGTCAGAGGGCTCTTTCCATCTGATCCTGCCATCACTTGCAGCCTGAAGACCTTCCAGGCTCCTGGGGCAGCCCCTTGGCATGGCACTCAAGGCCTTTCCGGAGGGTGACTTGGTCCCTGCCCACCCCTCACTTCCTTCCCAGCCCCACCAGAGGCCGGAGTACATACAACCCTGGAGAGACAATGAGGAGAAAGCTGGCCTTCAGCGATTTGGAAAGGGGCGCATCTGGGGTGCTTTAAGCCACTCACAGTCGCTCTGACCTATTAAGGGCTCACGTCTCCAGCTGGGGATGGGGCTCAGGTGGCACCCTCTCTAAACACGCCCCACAGCAGCCACCACACTGTGCTGGGACTGTCCCTCTACAGGCACAGAGCAGTGGGTCTGCCACTGGTCACCTGTGAGCCCCCTGTGCCTCAGCTTTCTCGCCTGTAAATGGGGACAGAAGGATCGATCACCTTCCTTTGCAGGGGATCGTAAGGCTTAAGTGAGTACGCAAGGTGCTTCGGACAGTGGCCAGCCCTCAGCAGCACCCCCCCGAGTGTGGGCTGCCCCAGCCCTCACTGTCACCTGCCCGCCTTCTTCAGGGGCCAGCATCCCTTGATGGGGCCGAGGACATGGCGCACTGCCCGCCTAGCGTGGAAGCACTCCGGGCGGAGGCCTGGTGATGGCAGGCCCCCGACGGAACTCCAGGTCGCTCACCACTGACAAGTCCTGTGAGGCTTGGGGAGGGGGCACCAAGCCCAGCCTGATGTCAGCCTGCTAATGACCCTTGTCCAAAACCAGTCTCGGCCAAGCAGAACGGATGTGTCTGCTCCAGGCTGGGTCCGGTCACACTGTGGTCTGTGCGTTTTCCAGAGACGGCCATGCCCCCCGACACTGGCACTCCTCCTCGGAGAGTGGGGGTCATGTTCCCGCCCTCGCATGTGGTGGGACCGGGGTGACGATAGCAGAGTGACACTGGGTGACATCTGACGGTGGGGTTAGAAAAGGCCTCTTTCCTCTGGTTCCCTTTTTTTAATTTTACTGTATTTTTTCCATTACCATTTAGTCCCCTTATACCCCCTGCCCCACAATCCCACCTGCTGTCCATGTCCACAAGTCCTTTCTCCTTTTTGCCCAGTTGCTCCACCCCTAACCGCCCCCCCACAGCTGTCGTCACTCTCCGTCTACGAGTCAGTCTGTTTTGCTTGTTCGTTCAGTTTGTTCACTAGATTCCACACGTGAGGGAGATCAGATGGTATCTGTCTTTCTCTGACTGGCTCATTTCACTCAGCACAATGCTCTCCAGGTCCATCCACGCTGTTGCAAAGGGAACATTTTCTTCTTTTCTAGGCCGAGTAGAATCCCACTGCGTAAAGGTCCCACAGCTGTTTTGTCCACTCATCTGCTGATGGACACTGGGGCTTTCCTCTGGTTCCTGCCCCTGAGATGCCGGCCCTCGGGCCCCGTCCCAGGTGAGGGGCCCCCTCTCCAGGCCCAAGGCAGAGGGGTCTTCCCCGGCAGAGGCCCAGACCCCCCAGGGCAGGGACAGACTGCGCCCCCAGGCCCTGCGCACGCCCTGGCCTGCGCCGCCTGTGAACAGCTAAGCCGATGGCTGTTCCGCGCCCGTCTTCGCGGGGTTGTCCCCTACACGCCCGCAGCAGGCGGCACAGACACAGAACCCCTTCTGGAGTTCTGGGACGTCCCACGATCTCCCGTGTCTCCCTGCAGTCACAGGTTCTGGCCCCTCCACTAACTGCACAGGCAGACCCAGCGGAGAAGCCGCCTCCTTCTTGGCGGCCTCCTCTGCCCTGTTGCCACTGCTCGTTGACTGGATCCTCCCGGGACAAGACTCAGTGTGAAGCAGCAGGAAAGCCGTGAGCCAGGGGCCAAGCCGCCTGGGCGGGGTCTGCCTCCGCACTCGGCAGCGTGGGGCCTCAAAGAGTCTCTTCAGCGCTTTGCGCCGCGGTTTCCTTGTCTACAGGCCGAGGATCCCAGGAGCCCCTTCCTCATGGAGAAGCTGTGGGGACGGCCTGGGGCGAGGGGGCGCCTTGGGCAAGCCCGAGCTCACAGTGAGCGGTCCGGGGTGTTGTTACCTGCTGCGCCCCCGAGACTGCAGCCTCCTCGCAGGTGGAAACTGAGGCCCGACCCCAACAACCACCAGAGGCCCCGGCACTTACACACGAACGTGGACAGAATGATGGGGGGACACGGTCACAGCTCTGGGTGAGGCTCAGGGAGGCAGCGCAGGCGGCTGTGCCCACACTCAGCCTGAGCCCCAGTGCACCCCTCACAGGACGGGAGGCTGCATCTTCCACAAGGTGATCAGACTTCCAGCCCCCAAAGACAAAACCCCCCAGGAAACCCACCCAGAGGGGCCAAAGTTCGTCAGCCCCCTCCAGGAGGAGCCACCCTCCCAAGCCAGGCCGTCCTGCAGCCCACTCAGCAGAGCCTTTCCTGGGCCCCGCACATCAGCGCCCTCCTGAATGACGTGGTCCAGCTCCGTCCACTGGTCAGAACTGTCAACTTTCACCCATCCTTCCCTCAAGATTCTTGGCCTTTTATTGGCACTCTGGGGCCAGCCAGTCTGTGTAATAGCCATCTGCTGACGGCTTCCTTCCCAGGACCACTAGCGGAGTCAATAGTGCATCCTCAGAGCAGGGCAACAAGACGCAATCTCTCTCAGAGGACTCGGCTGGCCCACGCCAGGACCCATGTAGAGGAATCAGTCCCTCCCCAGAAAGACGCACGGCCACCCCCAGCACCCGGCAGGGCGGTTTGGAACAGACAATGCAACACAGCCCGGAACAAACACAAGACGTGCTGGTTCTGGACGCAAGGAAAGCAAAACAGGCCAGAGGTCTGGTTCTCAGCCCCGAGGCCTCGTCGCCCGACTACCCTTCTGACCCAGGTTTCAGTTCTGGTTCCCGGGAGAGGTGCCAGAGCCACTGACTCACCCCGTGCCTCCCTGGATGTCTGCTGCAGCCTCCGTGCTAGGCCCTGGGGACACAAGATGCAGGCAAGTCAGGCGCCCCTGTCTGTTCAGCAGACGCTCACTGGACCCCACTCTGAGCCATGCACTGCATTCGAAACTCAGTGGCCCTGGGCACACCTGGCCATCCGCGCTCACCTCCTCCACACACTTTCAACACCTAACCTGACCTCGAGGCCCGGCTGTCTCTGCGACTCTGGTTATTATTTGGAAGGACGTGAGGCATTCCACATTTCAGGTAACTCGTGGGTGAGCCCAGAAAACTCAGTTTTGAGCCCTCTGGATAGAAATCGTCTCTGCTCAGGAAACAGGGGCCTCAGAACACTCCTTCCTCTTTGTTCAGTGACCGACGATCACCGCGGACGACAGTGGATGGTGCCCTGACGCAATGACCCCCGACTCCGGGCCGCTCCAAGGCTGTCCTGCCCTCCTCCCTCGTGGCGTTTCTGTCCTCTGCCGGTCCTGCTTCCTGCCACCCGGAACGCTGTTTCTGATCTCTCAAGACCTTCTACTGGTTTCTCTTGACTGTTTTCTTTACTCTGATCAGCTGAGACCTTGTGACGCCGGCCGAGTCTTTCTGCCGGCACTGGGGCTTCATGTGGCCCCGTGTTGCCGGCCTATGGCTGGGTCCCTCCTGGCTGTGCTTTCTCCACCCAGGAAGAGACTTCATTTTGGGCCAGAGACCAGGAAGCTAAGTTTGTCCAAAATCTGAAACTGGGTGAATGAAGCATCGCTCTTTAACTGATTCTTCCAGGCCGGAGGAATCTCGTCCCTGAGGAGAGCCCCTGCGTTGCCTGGGGAGCGACTCGGCCTGTGCTCCCTCACCACACCGGGCACAGAGCGCGTCCAGGACTCGGACACCCGGGGTGAAGGTGGCCCCTGGCTCGCACCTGGGAGATCCGGGGCAAGTTTCTTAGCCTACTCCCATTTTTTTTTCAGCTATAAAACGGGCACGATAATAACATGTGCTCCACCAGGTACCTGGGAGGTGAGGATGCGCTAACGATAATGAGAACTCTGTGGTAAGACTGTGAAGTGCCACGCAGGTGCTACTCAGGAAACGGCGGCCCCACGAAGCAACACGAATGGTGAGCACGTCCCCCTCCTCGGAACTCTGCCCC